ATAAAGAAAGAAACTAAACTCGATTTGTGGGACTTAAGAAGACGTTTTATTAATCAATATGTGATGACGAAAGTGATTACAAGGAGGTTCTGAGAAAACGGGAAGGTTGGAGTTCTTAAGGAAGCTCCGACGAGAATACAAGGGAGATCGATCAGTCGTTAAACCCTAGATCTTGCCGTCAGTATTCTTGTGTCTATTTGCGGATCCCTTTCTCTTTGACCTATGTCGTCCTTTTATACTACCGAGTTTGTTCTCGTCTTCGTTCGCCCTAAAGTTAGCTCGAAAGGCCTAAGATCGATGGGCTTTCGAACTTGTTGGGATTTTTAAAATGAGTAAGCCGGTCGCTCGATTTTCGGTCTGATCTCTTCTTTCAGTCGAGCTCTAACCAGACCGATCGTAATGGGCTGGAGCCTGTTATTCGATGGGCCTTGTGGAGGGGTGTTCAATCCCTCTCCAACACAACCGCTGAAGTATGGTGTCTCCTAGCCACTGCTTACGGAACAGAAACTAGAGGACACACCCGTCAACTCAAACTTCAGATCCAAAAATCTGTCAAAGGTCAAACGACGATCTCTGAATAGCTTCGCAACATCAAAGCCAAAGCAGATGACTAAGCACTTCTTGGAAAGCCCATGGATCACGAAGATCTCACTGAGTATATCTTAGCTGGCCTACCTGACGAATATAAGCCAGAGATATATATGCCATCAATGGAAGAGACAGTGATATCATTCATTGAACGGCTTATGAATCTTGAAGCAATGATCCTCTGCTCTGCTACTCCAACAATTACACCAATTGTTGCTAACACTAGTGAATCACGTCCACGGCCTGCTCGGAAACCAAATCAACATAAATATCATGGAAACAATCAAAACCGTGGGTCTTCCAATCAAAACCAGAACAGAGGCAGGCCAAAACCTTACCTTGGACGATGTCAAGCGTGTGGGGGTAGTTGGCCATACTGCGAAATACTGTCCTGAGTTCCGCATTGTTCGTGGCTCACGTCTTCCCAACCATGGAAATCACATTCTCAGCCTTCACCTCAATACTCTCAATCTTAGCAGCCACGTGCAAACCCAACATTCATGTCTGATCAGTCACTTGGCTTCTTGACAGTGGTGCATCACACCACATGGCATCGGATCTTGGTAACTTGTCTCTATACTCGCCATATCATGGACATGATGATGTGCTACTTGGCGATGGACCTGGGATACAAATATCCTACACGGGTTCCACTTCTATACCCTCTTATACAAAACCCTTTTTTTTTAAATAAAGTTCTTTGAGTTCCATCTCTTGCTAAAAATCTTATCTCGGTTTTTCAATCATGTACAAGTAAATCATGTTGCTGTGACCTTTACTCCGACCTACTTCCAGGTGAGAGATACGCAAATGGGGGTTCTTCGTCTGGAAGGCAAGCCTAAGGATGACACATATGAATGGCCAACCTCTAGCTCATCTACTCAACCTTCTCTTGCTTTTGCTTCAACAATAAAAACTAGTATGACTGATTAGCATTCTCGCTTAGGTCATCCAGCTTTTGATATTTTGAAAATTATTATTTCAACCTTTTCTTTACCTACTTTTACAAACATTTTAATGGAAAAACAATGTAATGCTTGCTCTATCAATTAAATGCATAAGTTACCATTCACTTCCTCTACTAATCAGTCTACACATCCTCTTGATATAGTTTTCTCAGATGTGTGGACATCACCTATGCAGTCAATTGATAGTTTCAAATATTATGTCATTTTTGTAGATCATTGCACTAGGTATACATGGTTATATCCTTTGAAAACAAAATCACAGGTTTTTGAAATATTTCCAAAGTTTAAAGCATTGATTGAAAACACATTTCAATACAAGCTTAAGACATTGTACACTGATAATAGTGGAGAATATATTGGCTTAACTCTGTATTTGTCGAGTCAAGGTATTTCTCATTTCACCACACCGCCATACACACCGGAGTATAATGGGCTAAGTGAACGAAGACATCAACATATAGTTGAAACTGGTCTCGCCCTAATGTCTCATGTTTCTATGCCTAACACATATTGGACATATCCATTTACAACGGCTGTGTATCTTATTACTAGGATGCCAACCCAAACACTTTCTTTAAAATCTCATTTTCAAAAAACTTCGGTAAAGATCCAAATTTTGAAAAACTAAAGGTGTTTGGATGCTTGTGTTTTCCTTGGCTTAGACCTTTTACATCACATAAATTCGATTCTAGGTGTTCCCCATGTGTTTTTCTTGGATACTCAACAACTCAGAGTGCTTATTTTTGTTAGATCCATATACTTCTCGAGTTTATACTTCACATCATGTTGTTTTTCATGAATCTGTGTTTCCTTTTAGTGTTTCAGTGCAAAATTTCGACTCTGGACCAATCTCAAGGGAGCACAGAGACGTTAGCTGTGGCCATACCCACAGCACAGCCGGTGCCAATCTATTCACCACAGCCTACTGCACCGACACCACGACAAACTCAGCCACCAGAAATGGATAATCCTTCTCCTACTGTCAACTCAGATCCTCCACCACCACCTGCTGCTACAACTACTCTACCAGATCCCACACCTCCACAACAACCAGCAGAAACAACCAAAAATAACCTTGTTGCACCAGTCAATCCGCAACCGACAAGGAAAAAAACACGCACGAGGAAGCCGGTAACAAAACTGAATCTTCACACCACTATCCACCAACTTTCAGAATGACCACCAACAACTGTAGCTCAAGCATTGAAGGATCCAAGATGGCGTAAAGCGATGCAAGAAGAAATTGATTCTATACAAAGTGACGTGGGGCTTATTGAATGAGGGACTTGAAAAAACCAAGATTTGAATAAATTAAAAAAAAAATTGATATTTGAGTAAATCCTAAAGAGATTTGTTACAAGTTTTTTGGGTTTTGAAGAAATTTCAGAAACTTTTGAATTTTTTTTTTTCAAATTCTAAATATTTATTCAAATAATATTTAATTTATAAAATTACTATAGTTTGATATTATTATCGTTTTATGAAATGTAGAAATTTTTTCAAAAAAATGATTTTTAAATATATTTTTTTCGTTTCAAATAATTTGATTTTCTTTTAAACATGTGAAGTAATTTTTTTTATTTTTTTTATTATTTTATTTTATTTTTTGAAAAAAGTTTCAAATAACATCATAGGAGGTGATATTTAGTTTCCTTGTTTTTTTCACTAGAAAATATGAACCAAATCCTATTTGATAGATTTTATTGACCAAATCCATATTTTCCAATAAGTTGGAATTTGGGTGAACTTAGACAAATGAATAATCCAATAAACTTGAATTTCATATAGGATTTATAAAATACTAGATAGACACAATAAGAGGGATTTGAGAACAAAATAAAAATCATCTCAAATCCTTAATCCAATAAGACACTTGTAGTTTCTACTTATTGTCGGTTAAGGTTTTGACTGGTTCTCCCATCATCATCTGCAAACGCATATTTTGTGGTTGGTAGCGGTTGTTGGCATTTTGCAACAATCACCAAAAACGTTATAAATCGCTTCAAATCACTCTGAATCTCTAAAATTCAAAAGCTAGTTCCAGCTAGCGTTGCGGTTGCGTGCGATTACGGGAGGATAAAAAATATTTCTTTTCACCAAATCCATATTTTCCAATAAGTTGGAATTTGGGTGAACTTAGACAAATGAATAATCCAATAAACTTGAATTTCATATAGAATTTATAAAATACTAGATAGACACAATAAGAGGGATTTGAGAACAAAATAAAAATCATCTCAATCCCTTGATCCAATAAGACACCTGTAGTCTCTACTTATTGCTGGTTAAGGTCTTGACTGGTTCTCCCATCATCATCTGCAAACGCAGATTTTGTGGCTGGTAGCGGTTGTTGACGTTTTGCAACAATCACCAAAAACGCTATAAATCGCTTCAAATCACTCTGAATCTCTAAAATTCAAAAGCTGGTTCCAGCTAGCGTTTGCGGTTGCGTGCGATTACGGGAGGATAGAAAATATTTTTTTTCCAGAAAACTATAAAAATATAAGCATAAAATATTCAATTAAAATTTTAAATTAAAATAACTGAAATACCAAAATATTTATATTATAAAATTTCCAAAAAAATATTTTCTTTATTTTTTTAAAACAATTAATTGTAGTTTTATCAATAAATTTTTTATATTTATTATAAAAATATGATTTTAATATTTTGATAATTATATAAAATATAAATATTGTTAACTTATTATTTAAACGTTGATGTATTTGGTATCCCGCAAACGCAACAAATTTTAACCGTTGAACCAATCGTCAAAATCTCTTACTAACGCTTAAAACCGTAATCTTCCGTATCCGCAAACGCTCGCAACCGCAATCGATACGTTGTAACCAGTCAGATCCTAAATCTGAGTTGGAAGCCACATTTTCTTAAGAGTATTAAATCTCGGTTAATTAATCAGGTGGATTATTCCCACACGGTGTTGAGTAGGAACTTCGAAGTCCATTTTTTTTTTTTGACATCAAACGGCTGATCTATTACTCAAAGAACTCGAGGTGGTCTGGGAATCCAGACCGGAATAGAACAACCAACGTACACAAGCTTACGATAAAAGGACCTAGCTGTCTTAGCTAAAGAATCAGAAACTCCGTTCTGACCTCTAGGAACATAACAAATCTTGAAATCAGGAAAACAGATCATCAGTGTCTCTAGCCTTTCTAGCTCGGTTGAGAAGTTTGGCCAAGCTCGAGGGTTCTTGAGCATCTCAATCATCTCCTTGCAATCAGTTCCAAAGCTCTGACATGGCGAATGTTGAAGCATATTCTCCATTGCCCACCGCAGTGCTTCCAACTCTGAGTGCAACGCCGACTCCACTCGAACAAAATTACGCATCCCCAATAATAAGAATATGAATCAAATTTATTAAGTCTATATACTATATATTAGCTTATTATTATAATCATCAATACAACTGTTTTTTCTCTATTACGGCGATAAAGCGGGAAGAACTCCTTTGAGAAAGGCGGAGAAAAATGAAAGGGATTCGCTAGGTTTGAAGGATGGCACATCATGTCCTGCTCCTTTGAACGTTGCGAACGTTAAACCTTCATATTCTTGAAGCCATCCACTAACCTAAAAATCATAAAGAAAACCAATCTGATCACGATTCAGAAACAGCTCTTTCATGAGATATAGATTAGTAATAATTTTGAATGCAATCATCAATCATTTTGACCTGTTTCTCGTGGTACCATGGCCTCCACGACGTCTTGATAGGTAATTCCAATTTGTTTATGCAGTACCTTGTCCCGAGTACGGGTACTCTTCCGTCTGTATCGCCGCTGAGCCAACACCAAAGAAAAGGAAAAAGAAAACATATAAGCAACTGATCGTTTATGTATTAGAAATTACCAAAATAATGATGATAGAACATCTCAAGCCAAAGTCAGAAAAAAGTTTATATTATATGTATCAGTCACCTATTCGAATCTTACCTGTAAACCCATATTCTAAATCCTCCCGCGATTAATTTCTTATATATTGGCAAAACCGAGGGCTTTGAATCCGTCCAATTTTGAAAAATAGCATCGCTGTTTCTCGTCAAAAGTAAAAGAGATTAATTTAGATAAGTTATATATACGTATCTGCGAAAATTAAAATAAATAAACAAAAGTAGTAGTACTTGCAAATGCTCCAATTCTTGAGATGAATACCATCACTTGCATGAAGAGCTTTCTGGACGTCTGCTCTGTTGTAGAATATCCTCGTATAGTCATCCAAACACGGATCGTATCCTCCCATCATCCTCGGCATCTATTGAGAGTTTCAGGTAAGTTTAGTCGCAGCATCCAATTAATGTGACATATATGCATACAAAGCAGATGAGTTAGTTAGTTAGTTACCATTTTGGAATTGGCAAGATTAGTCCTGAATCTCGTCAAATCAAGGGAGGAACTGGGCGTTGAATTTCCATTACATGTAGGAGTATAGAGACTGTACTGATCAATTTTGTGATATTGTTTGATTACTTCGTCTATGTTGTCTTTGCATTCTTTAACATCCCAAGTTGTGTTACTACTGAAGTTGCAATTTCTTTTTATGACTCCATACATCTCGTCGGATATTACTGCATGGCTCCATGCGTAATCCACCCATCCTTCCCAATCTTCGGCTTCCGAAGTTTCAGGATTGCCAAGCTAACCACCAAGAGAAGATAGGTATGAAACATCATCAATTTCACAGAATCATATATTGGAATACCTAAGTTTGTCAGCATAATGAAATAAAAAGTACTGAAATGCCTAAATCTTTTTTTTGGTCAAACCTGAAAAAACCCAAATCTTATAAGATATTTAATTTTGATAAAATCCATCAGTTAAGTAAAACGTCAATTAAAATAGGGACATAGACCAATATATTATACAAATTAGTTTAAGTTCGAAGTTTATGAAACTCAATAAAAAATGTTAACAAATACAGTCACACAGCTCGAAACACATGTAATATTCATTACCCAAAAATACTTCTGATCCAAAAAAAATTGATTCGACAGACTCTATCGGAATTAATCCTTCAATGAGATGGTATCAAGATAGGTGAACCAGGATTCAGTAGTACCAAAAATACCCAAAACTTCACAAATCAGCTATATAATATATATACATAAAAAAGGCTCGAACACTAAACGATGTTTCTCTATGTTTTAAGAGAATGAGAGTATCAAAATTGCGTCAACTTCTGAATATAAACTGAACAAAGCATGATGTAAGTTTTTTCAGTACCATAGACGTACGGAAATATCCGTTAATATCAATCAAACCAGGTCAAACATACCAGAATGCCTTTAAGCTTAATATGAAGTGACAAATTTTCATTGTTCTTGTCATAAACGACCTCTGCAAGCTCCGGTATGTACTTTCCTGCATCCATTTGTTTGTAAATGCAAACATGAATCAAAAAAAATAGACAATGATGTTAACTCAAGAAAAAAAAACATATACGATGATATAATGTCCTTTTAGTACTATGTCCAAACCTGCATAGCTCTCGCCCGCTATATAGAAATCGTTATCTCTGTAAGCCGGGAACCTCTCTAACCAGTTTTGGATAAAGGTGTATGTGTCTCTTGCTGTAAGTCACAATACATAGTCGTCAGGTTTGAATTGATAATAATATATTTAACTTGATGACCAAAAAATATATTTATTTATATATATATATATGACTTCTAAGATAGTGACTGGGAAAGATCGTAAAACTGGCTTTGATGCGTTATCAAAACAAATATTAAGAAATACATAACCGTAAATTTACAAACAAGCAAATATTGATTACAATTTACAAACGTTCGTTGAAAGAGAACAAATCACTAATACAAAAAATTGACAGCATGGAACTACAAGATTCGAATTCGTATCAAGTTAATTATAAACTTAAATTTAAGGAAAAGCTTAAAACATTGTTGATATATAAATACTACTGCATTGTGCAATCTGTTTTTGTTAGCTGTAACTCAAACTACGTTTAGGTATGTACATCTTCGTTCCATAATTTATCATAAAATTGAGTGGGAATTGGAGCGGTGAAAAACAAAATATTATTCCATAAACAGAATAATAATTTTATTTTTTAATTATTACTTGGTTTTTCATTTTTTTAAAAATAAAATAGAATAAATTATGTAGTGGGGGTAGGGCTGGGCATTTTATTCGTTAAATTTGATTCGATTCGTTATTCGTCTCGATTCGATTCGAAAATTCCGGATATCCGTAAACTTTCGGATCAAAGCAAATACTAAAAATCAATATCCGTTAAAATCAAAGCAAATCACAAATATTAAAATTTTGGGAAGCGGATATCCGATCCGTTCCGATCCGGAAATATATAAATATATGTATATTTTGATTATATTTAAAAATTTAAATGTATAAAATTATTATTATAGCTTATGATTTGACTAATTAGATTCACATTATTACTTATATAAAATTATTAGATAAAAAGAAGAGAAAATTATGAAAATTATAAAAAAATCTTAAGTTTTGTGTTATTATAGTTGTTAACTTAAACATAAAAAATTATAAAATATGTTAATTCACTACTTCTTTATTTTTTATTTTATATATCATGTAAAAAAAATTTTACAAAATAAATTTATATATGATTATTTGTAACGGATGAAAAATTCGTAAGTATTCGTAAATATCCGCAAATATCTGTTTATTTTCCGGATATCCGTTTTTCCGGATATCCGTATTTTTCCGAAGCAAAACAAATACCAAAATCAGATATCCGTAACATACGAAGCAAATCACAAATACCTTCGAAAATCCAGATATCCGATCCGTGCCACCCCTAAGTGGGGGATACTATTAGAACTGACATACGGGTTCACATACTCCACCACTCTTACGAGTTACGACATAAGAAAATGGATCAGAAGATCGTAAGAAACTGCTTTAAATAAACAAAATCATAGAAAATCGGATTATCTAATACGGCCACCTTAATCTAAGTGAATGAACATATATTTTGAAATTATAATAAATTCATCCATATATACCTGTAAAATCATCGCCGATCTTTTTATAGTCACTGCTTGTGTTTGAATATGAAAACCCAACACCAACTGGAGATTCTAGAAACAGAATGTTGGCCTCTGCATACATTAAGTATATACTAACCTTTATATATATTAAGAAGTTTATTTTTGGTCAAATATAATTAAGTAGTTACAGTGCAAAAAAGTGAAATGAAAGTAATATACAAAGAACAAGTTTCATAAGCCCTTTATGAAAAAAAAAAAAACAAACAAGTTTCGTCAATTGCCATTTTGAAATGGAAATACTATGAACCTAGAGATAACTATATATATGTAGGCATATACATAATAATGATATGATCAACTGATAATGAACTTATATATAAAAAAAAACTGGTATACCATGATTCCATGCGTATGGATTTAATTGAAGACTGTTTCCTTTGTTGTCCACAAGAAATGGACCAATCTCTTGTGTTGCTCCGTATCCCACAGAAGAACATCCAGGCCCTATATAATTAATTAGCAACAGAAAAAGACAAATCAAACCAAGTGTCCTACTAAGTCTAAAACATTAACATAAAATGTTTCCTTCCATGTTTTAAGTTTAACTACCTCCATTAAGCCACAGTACTAAAGGCTTCTGGTTTGGGAGCCTCATAGCCTCGAAAAACCAATAAAACATAACCCTTCCATGTTTTTTATCAACCGGGACATAGCCGGCGTAATGTCTGAAGCTCACACCAGATTGACCAGGCAAATCTGTAACGAGATCGGCTATCAGCCAAAACAAACGCGAAAAGAGTGCAAAGACACAATGCAATGGACACATTGTAAATAGTCTGATGACTCATTAGGATGTTAGATTTTGAAAAAAGTCCAGAAGATTAATCATGTAAGGGGTGGTTGAGACGTAAGGCAATGAAGGCTTGGATTTGTAATCTATTTATATGGAAAGATTGTGATTTGATTTGTTTATTGCTTTTTGTTTTGTATATGAAAGTAAAGAATCTTAGGTGAATAAGAATTAAGAATAATAGTCCTCTCTGGCATTTAAAACATTTAATGCCCTTGACCCCCAAAAATATGGAAACAAATAAAAAATCTGAACTGATATTTTTATACTGCAAAAGTTTAGTTTTATGTGTCACAACCATTTTAGTTTTCACTTAAACCAATTACATATAATTATATCAATAAATTAAAACCATTATGTATAATACCATAATTGATATTTCTATTTATTTCCCCTGTTACGGAATAATAAAAATATAAACTCTTTAATATAAAATAAAATATAGATATTTGACTATAATAATTTTTATATTTTTCAACCCAAAAAGCTTTCCTTCTCTTTATGTTTATATTAGAGCTTATATATAAATATATGGATTCCTTATATTTTTAGGTGTATTTAAAGAATTTCAGAAATAAATCTTTTAATCTTTTTCAACCCAAAAAGCTTTCCTTCTCTTTATGTTTAATATTTTATATGATTTTAAGTAGGATTGAGAATTGTGGGTTGTTAAAATTTCCAAGTTTGAGAAATACTTTTTTTTTCGTGGAATGAAAGGAGAGGAAAACAATTGTCTGATGTAGACTAGATTGTGCCTTAAAAAATAAAATGACACACTTTGTCTCTCTTTGTACGTAGAGTACCTAGGTATGATTGATTAGATCATAGACCAATAAGCAATTTTGGATGAAAAATTATAAAGAATGAACGACAATTTTGGTTTGACAACAGATAGATTAAAAAACATGGATTAATGAATTTAATCTCCAAATGGTAGTTTGCACGAGGATTGGAAAACAATTTAGGAATTGTGGATAAGATCTAGAAATTTCCATATGAAATTGGAAAAAAACAAACAACTTTCCGTACGGAAAGGAAAAAAAGATAACATGCAGAAGTTTGTAGAGGAAATACAAAATGATGAGTCTAAAACATATGAGGAGGTTATGGACGTGACTCAGTAATGAATTGAAGCATACATAAATGATAAATTTTATTGGGAGAGAAAACATTAGGAATATGGGGCATACAAAAAGGGACAAAAATACTAAATCCTACCACATTCAAACTTAATAGATAGTCCAAGATACATTATTGGTTTACATAATAATGAAGGTAACTAGCAGGTAGAGGGAATAGCAGACTGTTTCAATGACTTATTTGTGTCAACGTTCCCAACTGGTTTTGAAGATTTCTTAATAGAGGTTCTTGAGATGATTACAGCCGCTCAAAATTTATCACTGGCCTCTATGGCATCTTAGGAGGAAGTAAATCTGTTTTATTTATGATGCATCCACAAACATTTATTGGCCAAATGGTATGATAACATTACATTTTTCAACAATCTTGGTCTAATATCAAAACATATCTCTTTAACTTGTCAAATGTATTCCTAAGGAAAAACTCTTTTGATGAGAGGTTAAATATAACAAATATTTGATTTCTTCCGAAATTGTAAGGCGAGGTCTTATTATGGAACTACAAATGATTAGTCCATGTAACTTGGAGAATATAAGATTATCTTGAAGAATATAAGATTATCTTGAAGATTTTATATCAACGGCTGAAACGATTATTCCACAGCTGATTGCAGAGACTACAACTGATTAGTCCATGGCATCTTAGGAAGTGAATCGGTGTTATTTATGATGCATCCAGAAAACTGTATTAGCCAAATGGTATGATAACATTATATTTTTCAACAATCTTGGTGTAATATCAAAACAGATCTCATTACCATGGAAAATGAGATCCTAAAGACAAACTCTTTTGATGAGAGGTTAAATATAACAAATATTGGCTTCCTTCCCAAAATTGTAAGGTGGGGTCTTATGATGGGACTACAACTAATTAGTCCATGTAATTTGGAGAATATAAGATTATTTTGAGAGTTTTAATCAACAGCTGAAACGATTATTCCCACAGTTGATTTTGAAGACTGTCTTGGTTTCAGTATGAAAAAAACTAAATTAACTTTCTCAAATCATTTATAATAAATATTTATAAATCTTACTCTTTATTTTAAATTTTAAATCCTAAATAATAATCAATAAACTATAAAACTAAATGTTAAAGTATTTTTGATTATAATTATTTTTTAAATGTGGTATTTTTGAAAATGGTAGTCAATTTATATTATTTTAATTGATTTCTTCAATTATTTTTGCTTTTGTGATATTACTTGATATATTTTATTTTTGCATAAGAATTTCTTGGAAATGTTATATGAGCACATTGTATATATAAAGTACTAGACAAGTATAAATATATTTTTTATGAAGGTTTCGTTTACATCCATCTACTCTTCCACTTTATAAATTATTCGGAACCAAGCGAGAATGGTCTATTAGTCTTGAGGGAGCTTCTGCCCTAATGTGGATTCGGATTCGAAACCCGCTAATCACCATAATTAAAATGGGATAAAAAGGCTGTTATCCAGGATGTCTTCTGCGTAGGTGTACTGTTACGGCCCAAATCCATAAGCTGAACCGGAGGTCCATCCAACTCCCCACTCACACATCCAAGGCGCCAAACAGAACATATGTGCACTAAAAATGTCATATCTTATAAACCAGGAGGGTTTTAATCATAAAATCAATTTCAATGGATTATAAACTCAAGACGAAGTCCACCCCAGTTGAAAGTTCAAGAAAAGACGCACAGAGCAAAAAGTTATGAGTTTTACAAGACAGAGATTTTCCAGTCCATTCATCTGCCAGTATCATCCAACTTTAGAAGGAGTTTCAAACCCAAAGAAGGAACGGCCCGAGACAAAGCCGATCATATAAGTCCAGAGGAGTTTATCAGCTTTCCAGAAATCCCAAGATCATGAGAAGGGGACGAGTAAACCATGAGATATGATCAATTTCTCTAAACCGTTCAAACCAGCTCTACACTTGCCTTATTTGGAAGATCCGGGTTTTGCTTCAACCCAATCTCAAGAAAGATGGCCAGGAGACCTTTGAATCATTCATAGGTATTCCACAATACCTTAAGGAGCACCAGAACACATGAGATCATGCGGATCTCAATCAGACCAGAAAATAGAACCGGTTTGCATCAATTGGCCAAACCGACAACAATTGGAGGAAGTCTTAACCTAATTCAGTTTGATCTGACCCAGACCTTTATATGGAAGCCAAGAGATCATCTCAAACATCCAGAAGAAATTATCCACGAGCCTGAGGAGTTCCATCAGTTCCTACCATGCACCAGCCCACATAGGATCCTCATTTACCCTTCTTGCCTTATTTGGAGTCTCAGCCATTAAAACTTCAACGGCTCTTTTTCCAAAAGTTTTTGCACAAAACCAGCACCTTCTAAGCCATCCAGAAGGTCCCAAGGAATCTCTCTTTATCCATTAAAACCGAGCAGGTTCAAGGAAACTCAGATTCTTCACTTGGAACCAAAATCCCACAAAAGGCTCCAACATCTAGTTTTTAAATGCTTGATTTACTTCCTTTATTTTTGTAATTATGGGCAAAGGCACGACCTATATAATATCACTATAGTTCTCTGTACAAACCACCTTTCAATCATCTAAGTTTATAAGAAGTTTGTTATTCAAATATTGTTCTTTGCATAAAATATCGATCTTTAAGATTCAAAGTGTGATTCATTGTTGTTCTATTGTTTTCATGAGTCTAGTTTGTTTATGAAAATCAAACAAGCTCAGTACACAGGTTGAGAGAGTCAATCACATCAATCCACCATCCCACCAGATTGAGAGATTCATTCAAAGCTTCATCCGCAATTCCACTTCAATCCATCTCTTGAGTAAGCTGAGAGAGACTTTAGTCCAACAGCTTGATTCTGCCCTATCTATCATTTTTACTTTGTTTATATATCTCCAGTTCATCTTGTTTAAACCATAAAAATCATTCCTTTTATTTCATTAGAAATCACAGCCTTACAATCACTCCCACAAGCCATTATCGCTGTACCGGAACCAAACATCAGGAACCTCTGATCCTCACTTTGTGCAGTCTGATTTCCAGAATGTATCATGTATTTAGGCGCTAGTCCGGTTCTTTCTAAGATGTCTCGATTACCTGGATTATAAGAAAATAATAATTATTATTCGGCTTTATTTTTGCTTTTTTCTAGTCATCGATGTGACAAATCAGATTCTCAGTCTGACATGTTTACATGTGATTTGATGTTATGTATGCTGTATGCAAAACACCATAGAAAGAATCCGAATGAGAGACTCGAAACCGATAGAATATTCTTTTTTCTTTTGAAGCTAGATAGAACATTTTCTATGACTACATTTCAAATGGAAGGAATTTTTGACACCTAGAAGCATGAATATTCTGATTCAAAGTATAGAAATCAGAGGTGATTATCAGTAAGAATTTAGAGCAGTAGAGGAAGTCAATTTAGTTATTTTGGTTGCATTGTTTGAGTATAACCATGTAGGGTTGGGTTGGGAGCTCGAGGTAATTGGGCTAAGAAAAAAATGGCGAATTAAAAGCTAATAAATTCCTGAGAAAGAAATCTTTTAATTTCAATATCTCCCCCTCAATTTAACAACATCCATATAATTTTTTTAAGAATACTTATTAGTTTATTAGTTTATGTTGTATTAACTACATGATAAATTATGATTTATGTTTTTAAAATTAATTATAAATGACAACTTTTACATAGCAGAATATTTATAAAAAAATATTTATCCAAATATTTTGCTTGATTTATATTAATTATAATTTTTATATCTTAATTTTTTTTTGTTTCTATAATAGAAAAATACATTTTCAAGATAACAATATAATACATAAGAAGTATCTTATTTTCTAAAAATATAGTATTAT